ATTGAAAAAATATTTCCGCCTCCTCCCCGTTTCCCATTTCCCTCCCCCTCCTCCCACACTTCGCCCCTCCCCCCACTCCCCTTCCCCTCTCCCCCTCCCCTCCACTCCATTCCCCCTTCCTCTCGAGAATGAAGAGCAGTGGGAATCAGGAAGTAGTCTTGAGAATCTGTCACCCCAATTCCTTTAACCTGTTGTGCCTAACCTCCTACCTTTTTATTATAAAAAAAAGAGATGGGAATATAATGGTCTGCCCTGTCCCTTTAAAAGTTAAGCTCCCCCACTCCCTCCCCTCTCTAGGCAAGTGGATCTTCCTTCCAGTTTCAGACTGAGCTTCTTCTTTCCTTTCTGCTTCTTTCTTAAAGAGGCAGCTTCTGCCTCTTTCCCTTCTCCCCACTTCTCCCCTCCCCTCCCCCTCTCTCTGCCTCTCTCTGCTCTTCTCCCTTCTCCCATTTCTCCTCTCTCTCTGCCTCTCTGCTCTCCCCTTCTCCTCTTTCCCCCTCTATGATTCTCTTTCTCTCTCTACCTCTGCCTATCTCTGCTCTTCCCCCTTCTCCCATTCCCCCCTCTCTGCCTCTCTGCTCTCCCCTTCTCCTCTTTCCCCTCTCTAATTCTCTTTCTCTCTCTCACTCTGCCTCTCTCTTCTCTTCCCCTTTCTTCCTTCTCCCCTTTCCCTTTCCCCCTCCATAACTTACTAAGTAAATACTCACTTTCTCTGCTTACCTTGCCTATCCATCTCTGTCTCTCACCCACCGTGGCCCTTCATGGGACCAGCTGTTCTCATGGCCCACCGTGGTCTCCCAACCACCACTGCCCTAAACCACCCACAGTTGCCCACTGCTACCACCTGGGAACCACAGCATTTTACCTAAACCATAACACCCTCCCTCCTCTCCTCCCAACCCCTTCTCTTCCCCATCTCCTCTCCATCCCCATCCACTCCTCGTCTGTCTCCATTCAGAAAGGAAGAGGCCTCACATGGGCTTGCACAATGCACGACACATCAAGTAGAGGCAGAACCATTCTCCTCCCCTTATATTTGGTCAGGGCCAGGTAATCCAGCTTGGGGAACTGGTTACCAAAAATCAGGTAAGTGCCTGGAAGAGAACCTGCTATCATTGTTAGAGGACCTACTAAGAGACCAAGATGCAAGATTGTTACACACCTGCAGAGGTCCTAGATGGTCCCCATGCAATCTCCCTGACTGTTGGTTCAGCATCTGTGAGTTCCATTTCCTTCTTCTTAAAAAGCAACCAATTTTACCTGACTTTAACCTTCAACCCATGATAAATCTTAATTATCTCCTGTAAATCCTATTGACGAATACATTAACTGGTAGGGTTGGAGCTTCAGTGTATGATTTGAAGAGAAGCTTAGTCCACAGCAGCACCCCTATAAAATTATCTGGCATGTAATGAACAGAATATGGAGGTGTTTATCATTTGATTATTTTTAATACTCTGGCAGGAAATAGCATTAGGTGAATTATAGGATTAGGCAAATTATAGTTACCCAAGGGAAAGAGGAAATTTTCATATAATAAGAAAGTGTTATCTTTCAAATACAGGTTGGGAATGAAACTGGCTTTCAGGAAGTTTCTAGAAATGAGAAACAGAAGCTGTATCTCTTCCCATCTCTTGTACACACATCTATTGTACATTGGTTTCCTCTCCCTTGGGGGAAGTAAGTGGCAAAGATGGCCATGTTTACTGCCGTCATGATGCTGCTTGCCTCAGGAGGATGTCTAGCCCAAACTCACTCCCTTGTTGGTTGAATTCCAAATTTCCAATGAGGAAGGAAGCTGTGGTGCTTGATCCACGGTCTATACCTGGTCAATGCCTACAAGTTAAGAGACCACAAACTGTACGAACCAAGGTGTGCAATTTTACATGAAAAAAAAAACCCAACAACAAACAGTTTTCCAATACTGGACATGATAAACTGGCTTATATTAAAGTACATACTGTCTTATAGGCTGCATGTGTGTGGGGATGGATATGAGGTTCTGATGTTAGTCACAGAATTGGATTGAGCTAGACGTGACTCTGCCACTGTGCAGAAGCTCCAAGTTGCCAGCAGAGCTCAGTACAGGAAGGTGCACACGCTTCCCTCCTCTGTGCCCCCTCTTTCACTTGCTGAGTGACTTCCTGAATGTAGATTGCTTTTGAAAATTCAGACTTTTAACGTGAAACCAGAAACAATTGTTTCAAGAATGGGCAAACTGTCCGGTCAATCCTTCTCTTTGGCAGAGTCAAGTCTAACTGACTCCAAGCTGTCTCCTCTGCTTCACATCCCACTGTCACCTCACAGAATTCTCCAACAAAAAAAGGAGTGTTGAAGGGGATGACTTCTTAGACAACTACAAACAGTGGCTCTCCCACCCTATTGTTTATTTTAGAGTTGGTACCACATCGGGCATCTTTAGCTAGCTATCTTAGTTAGGGTTTCTGTTGCTGCGAAGAGACACCAAAACCACAGCCACTCTGAGAAAAGAGAGCATTTAGCTGCATGGCTTTCAGTCCAGAGGTTCAGTCTGTTTTCATCATGGTGGGTGGGTTACGGTGACATGCGGGCATACATGGTGCTAGAGAAGGAGCTGAGAGTTTTACATCTTGATATGCAGACAACAGGAAATGAACTGTCTCACTGGGAATGGCTTGAGCGTACAGACCTCAAATCCCACCTCCACAATAACACACTTTCTCCCAACAACACCATACTTACTCCCAACAAGGCCACATCTCCTAAAAGCACCACTCCATTTGGGAGCCATTTTCTTTCAAACCACCATAGTAGCGGAGTCAGCATTTCACACTTGCTGGGAAGATCTGGTGGCCTCTGCACTGAACTCATACCAAAGCCAGGCATTTTGAGCAGAGAAAAATCCTAATGGAGAGTGCTAGTGGCATATCTCCTTTGGAGGAAGAGATGAAGGGGTCATTCTGTGTGGAGATGACTACAAACAGCAAGAACCAGAGGATGGAGGAATGGCTTCATACCAGTTTTTTCTTGCTCAACTTTCTTTCTCACAGAATACTTGGTACTTGAACCTGTTAAGTTCCTGACTTCAGTATGATTGAAGCTGGGAGATATTTACAGCAGGAGTTCTTTCCAACTCACTACAAATAACTGACTTGCCTGGTTGACTAAGAAGGCCCCACTTTCTGCAAGACACTCCAGTTTGGAGCTGTAGACAGGAGAGGCTTCTGAACTTCCTACAGGCATGTATTATCTGAAAACTCTATTATAAACCAGGGCTACTCTACAGCACAGAGAGAATATTATTTCTGAAACCACAAAAAAACTTTGAACCTTGCAAAGACAAAGCCATTAAGAAATGCTTCCTTATAAATTGAGGGCTACTTTCATCTAGTCATTATAAATAGAAAAAATAACCAAAGGCAAAAATCATAAATATCTAGATAACATCTATATTCAGAAGGTAGCCCAAACATCCTGAAGTCTCTCATCTTCAAAAGGATACCCTGAAAACAGAGAGCGCTTCATGGATATAGCTTATACCAGATAAGTAGGACTCTAGTAAGGACACCATGTTCAAAGCAGCTGACATGGAGGTCAGCTTTCCAGGAGGTAAACACCCAAACATGCACATTAACAGTTACATAAGTTGAAATCAAATGTTGAGGCTATATCTGTGTCTTTTGAAGTATTCTTGGTTTTCTTTATTTTTTCTTTATTTTTGAGAATTTTATTTATGTAATCAAATGACATTGAGCAAAGGTCATGAGATGTAAAAGAGAAGGACAAGAACTCTGAAAAGGGTGAACAATAAGAAAATTTAAATCCTCAAAATGTCAGTTAACTGCCTTGCCTTAAAAGTGTAACCCAGGCCTCCTAATGATGGTTATATTAAATGATTTCTGAGAACTGCTTATCACATGTCCTAGACAAACCAAGTAGGCATTCGATAAGGGCCAGAGGCAATGACAGTGGTGTTATTTATGAATTCCTATGCACTTAGGGATCACCAGACAGTGGTCTTGATGCTGAGGTCCTGAGGCAGCAAGCACAATGCCTGCTATACAAATGCAAGGGTTGTCAGGAAGCAGAGATGCAGCAGAACAGCTGGGGAGATGCATTCATCAAATACTATTGAGGAAACACCTGTCAGGCTCCAATAAACTACTGTACAAATTGCTGTAATTACAGCACCTTGTCCCTGATATCAGAAGCAGTAAAGTCTAGTGGAGGAGACAGTCACTAAATAAAGCTCTGTAGTGTATCATGGAAGGATTTGCTGTCCAGTGGGTGTATGTGCCTGGAATAGATTCCTGGGGGAGCTAGCTAGCCTGCGGTAATTTTCAGAGTGTCCACTGAACAAGGTTGCAAGGGCCATTACTCCATTGTGGACACCAAGATGGAAAGAGGCACCCTCTGGCAACAGGACCCAGGAGGAGTGTTTTAAATGGGCTTTCCAGAAAGATATGGGAGAGGCAAGTCTGAGTTCATATGGATGTGAGAAAATGGCAAGCCCCAGCAAAACTTCTCAGAGGACATGACTTTGTAAAGAACAAGATGACCTCACAATAGACATGTTAAGAAGGGTGTCCAAGAAAGGCAGCAAGAGTCTAAATATTGGTCTCCAGCTCAGTGGGAGGAATAAGAAATGAGAGCAAGGAAGGGTAGCAGAGACTAGGGAGCCACATAGGCGGGGAGACTCCTGGAGACATTCTATAATGCAAGAGGCCAGAAGACTCAGTCCTAGCCTGGGCATGCCTGAAGAAGAAAGCAAAGTGATTGTGCTTTCTCTGTGTGGAGAACTGAAGAGTAATGGGTAGAAGTGCTGACTGATGGAATCTTAACCAAGCTGGAGAAGAAAAAACACAATTGAGTCTAGAGACACAAATACATCAGTGTGTGTATTCAGGTTTTGCTTCTCAAGAGCCATCTACTTTTCCTTTCAAGATACGATCTTTTGAGCTAGGATCTTTTACTGGTCAAGTAATCTAGCTCCTGATCTTAAATATACTATTTCCATGCAGAAACTGCCGAAGATGCACGGAATAACTGGTACCCAGGATGCATTTTCAACAGTAGGAGACATTTTATCAGACAGAATCAGGAAGAAGACTCAAGAGAATATGGTCAACAGCCCCAGAGAAGGAAGCATCGAGAATAGAAGGTAAGTACTCTCAGATCAGAGAACTGATTCCACCTGGATTGATTCAAACTGCACCTGTAGTTTAATATCTGTTACTTGACTACTCAAAATAGTATTAATCTGTACATAAATGAAAGTAGATGATGGTTTGATATTTTGCATGTATCAGATAAAAAATTTTTAAAAAGTGCTTCAACCCCCCCACCTAAGAACCTGAGAAAATTAGTGAAGGAGAAACTTGGGGCCAATTTCTCTTAGTTTTTAAGGAAGCTTTGTATCTGTTTCCTTGTGATGGAGTTCTGAGATCTAAAGCCTGGGTCTTCATGATTGAGCAGCAATCTTAGCTATGGGACCATCTCCTCACTCCCCAAAGTAACACTGCACTAGAGAAAATGTATAGCTCTACATGACTTTAGGCTGGAGATTTCAACAGGGAGTTGGATTGGGCCCTTTGGTGATGTCTAGAGCTAGGTTGTTATAGTGGGGAATGGGGATGAGGTTATAGGTATTATTAAGTCAGTGGCTGTCATGGAAGTCACCCATTGTCCTAGGATGCACAGGATTGCAACATAGCTGAGAATGGCTCACATAATTGATCAATGCTGAGCACCAAGCACTGTTTTAGACCAGGAAAGAACTCTTAAGATCACTTATTTAAAATATCTAAATATCGAAAGAAATTAGAAAATATCTAATTGGAAAGTGGTTCAGTGTGTAAGCTGCTCACCTGACTCAATGTGCCCAGAATCCCCACAAAATTTGTGTGATTTGGCATTAAATATCTGCAGTGTCAGTACTTCTATGACAAAATGGGACACGGAACAGAATAACCAATCCATGGGGGGTCACAGGCCACTAATCTTTTTTTTTTTTTTACTTTTTTTTATTGCGAATAAGAAAAAAAAAGTTTCTGCCTCCTCCCAGCCTCCCATTTCCCTCCTCCTCCCCCCTTTGTGTAGGGAGTGATGACCAACAGAAGAGTTGATGTCTCAAACTGACACTCGAGATTCTCCTGTGGCCCCCACTCAAGAACTGTGACACTTGCTATATTCACACATGAACACACTGACTAAGCACATATATACCATATACACACACACAAGAGAATGGGGGAGATCTCTGGGATAGTTCTTCCATGTCTCAAACCTAGTAAAACCAGAGGAAAATGATCTCAGGTCCTGGTGACTCAAGACTAATCTTATTCTTTCAATTTGTAGGAAACATTTTCTAAAGGTTTTCTGTATTAGCAAAGGGATCTGAGATTTTCAGGGTGGTTTTTATCTAATTGCTGGCACCGTTCATTTGCCCTGTTACTCTGAACTTAATTAGCAGTTCCCTCTGGGACCAACCATTCAGTAGCTTTACTACATTTACAGTCTCAAGGGGTTAACCTTGTTAAGCCCAGGGAACCTCGGAGTGATGATTTTTGATTTTATCAGATGACCTCTGATGACTGGTTTGGAATCTGTTTGGGACACAGCCCAGACATCAAAACTCAAGCAAGGAAAAATTCTGTGGATATTAAAAAAAAAAAAAAAAGCCTAACCTTTGTTCATGATGGAAACCCTTACCCCAGTCCGGCTTTCTTACGGACCTGAGGTGTCAATAAAGAATCAAGAGCCAGTGAAGGCCAGAGAGCTTCGGATGGCTTCAGCAGATATCCACATACTGTGGTTAACTGGTACTTCTGAAATGCCTCTGACAGAAAAGGCTATTGGATACTAGATGATAGAAAATAAAAGTCACATGGCCATGTGATTGCTTTCTCTTAAAATCCTGCCAAACTAACCAAGATGACCAGTACCTTTGAAATCAGTAAACATTAAGATCAAATATGACATCAGAGTCATGGAAATGTGCTGCTCCTGAGTTACATTGGGACAAAAGCCTTTGAAATCCTTAAGCCTGAGGCTTCTGGATGTTTCAGTCACATTACTTACTATTTTAGAGTGAACCCTACAATTGGGTAGGGACGAAGTCATCCACAGTGAGGGTCCTGTGGAGAAAACACAGCTGACTCTGTTGCCAGGATGATTTTACTCAGTGTTCTGAGATGCAGGAACATGGAAGCACAAAAATGTGAGCCTTTCCCCCCTTTGTCTGAATGTCAGAGAATTTTAGCTTGTTCAAAATTCTTGACAACAACTAAGGCTACATATTCTCATCTAGGGTGTGGTTACTTGGTCTTTTTGACATTAAGATGACATATATAGGTAGATCCACTCCCCCATGAGCAATGTCAGGGTATTCAAGCATACTTCTGCTCCTTCTTTTGAAATGGGAGGTTTCACTTTGAGAGTAGCTGCCTTCAGGGTACTTGGTCTTGGGTGGGTTCACTGCCTAAACACCAGAATGCTTTTCTTATTAGTGACTTGATGGCTCAAAGTATTGAATCAAATAACTGTTCTAGTTGTCCTTTGTATAATGTTAAAGTAGTCTTTTGTCTTTTTCCCCTGCCTTATTGGGATATAAAAGTGTATAGAAAATTAAAAGCAGAGATTTCAGTATTTACTAGAACTCCCTCCCAGTACTAGCCTATGTTTTCTGTTTTATTATTTTCACTTGCTTCTTTGTGCCCTTTACTAACTTTTCTAATCCCGTGCCTCTACCCTGGTAAGTGGTATTTTTGTCAAAGCTGGTCTCCAACACATGGACCCCTTTAGGTAATCCAAGCTTGAGCTTCCAGGTTTGTTCACATTTGACTGTTTACAACTTGATGCACCATAAGTGGCATTTCAAAGTCTTCTGTGAGTGGCAGGAAGACACTTGACTTCAGAGAAGCAGTGTGACCCTCTCTGGTATGCTGTGGGAAAGGCTGAGATGTCTTAGATGTTCACTGAGCTGCAGTGTCGTATGTGTAATCATGAGGAAGGCACAACTTCTGACTTAGTGAATGCTGGGTTAGGAATATGGATCTGGCATCTTCCAGCCTTCAGAAACTTGCCTTCTGGAAAACACAGGACTGCAGTTAGATACTTTTTAAAATCTTGCTTAAATTTTAAATGCGTTTTTCAAAGAAAGAAACTAATGATTTTTTTTAGTTTTGAATTATTTATAAATGTTTTTCATCGGCATTTTATGCATGTATATGAGGCATTCTGATTGCTCAGCCCCTACTCTCTCTTGCCTACTTCTCCCTTCAACCCCAACACTGTCCCTTTTCTACATTCATGGTTTTATTTTTGTTGTTGATGATGTTTTTGAGATCCAGTGGATTTGGTCAGGGAGTTCTCTGTGATCATAGGTTACACCACTGATGACAGTGACTCCCAGGTTCCCAGAGTTTGTCATTGTTCCTTAACATAAGAAAGATACATGGAGAACTTGAAGGCAAGAATCATTCAGACACAGTGAACTTCAAGTTATTTACTGATTACAAAGTCTAGGACTCTCAAAGCTTATTTATGAACATAAACACAGTCCTAGACTTAATCACTCCCATAGAGTAGGATAAGTGTCTATGATCCACGTGGACTTGAGTTTTTGTGCATGGGGATAGATATGGTTCTATTTATATTCCTATATATGTTGACATCCAGTTATGCCAGTAGCATTTGTTGAAGGTACTTATTTTCCATTGTAAAATTTTGACTTCTTTGTTAAAAATCAGATGTTCATAGGTGTGTGGATTAATATCAGGGTCTTCAGTTTGGTTCCATTGGTCCATGTGGCTGTTTTTATGCCAATACCAAGCTGTTTTATTACTGTAGCTCTATAGAGGAGCTTGAATCAATCTACCTCAAGACCCAGCAATACCACTCTTGAACATATACCCAAGGGATGCAAATTATACCACTAGGACATTTGATCAACTATGTTCTTAGCAGCATTATTTGTAATGACCAGAATCTAGATACATCTTAGATGCCTGGCAACCAAATAATAGATAAAGAAAATGTGGTACATTTAAACAATGGAGTATTACTCAACAGTAAAAAGCAATGACATTTTGAAATTTGCAGGCAAAGGGTAGAACTAGAAAAAAAATATTCTGAGTGAGGTAACCCAGACCCAGAAATACAAAAGCAGTATGTACTCACTCACAAGTGGCTATTAGATGTAAAACAAAGAATAACCATGCTACAATCCACAACTCCAGAGAATATATGTAAAAAGGGAAACCCTAAGAGGAACATGTGTAGGACTCCAGGAAGAAAAATAGTTGTGATCTCATGGGTAAAGTAGGAGGAGAGGTAGAAGTGAGAGATTGGAGGATGGAAACATGAGAGATCAAGAAGACTGACTTGGGAGAATTGGTGGGGAAAACCACAGAGACACTGACCTGAGCTAGTGGGAGCTCACAGGCTATGGAATGATAACAGGGGAACCCGCATGGGACCAAACCAGACTCTCTGAAATATGGGTGACAGTTATACAGTTTGATCTGTTTTTGTGGGGTGCTAGCAGTGGCACCAGGACCTGTCCCAGGTGAATGAACTGGCTTTTTGGAGCCCACTCCCTATAGTAGGACACCTTGCTCAGCCTAGATACGGGGGGGGGGGCCGGCCTCAAGTTGGTATGCCAGACTTTGTTGACTGTCCAAGGAAGTCCTAGAATGAATGTCGTGCACACCATTCTATCAGAGTTCAATATAATCATCTGACATATATATTTATATAAGTCTAACATTATTTAGTTACTGAATCTGTGAGAATGTCAATAGCATTCATGTTTTTGCACCGAAGTTCTCACTGATGGATTGTGAAAGAATCTAAGTGCACAATGTATTTCTGTCATTCAGGCTTAGTGTCTGCCTGTTAAGGATCTGGAGCTTGAGGGGTTTCTGTCTTTCTTCCCAGGTAATTTCTGCTCACTGCTCTGTTGGTTTAGAAGATGTTTATCTTGTAGCTGAGCTAAATGTATTTGCATGTATATGCAGTATATGGTCCTCATAAATGCATTATCTTGGGCAAGCTAATTGAATTGTCCGTACCAATTTTCTCATTCGTAAAACTGGAACAACAATAATTCCTGATCTTATTAGATGTATAAAATTTAATATATGTTAAACTCTCATGATG